TCCTTTCCCTACCAAATGGAACCAAGAATTTATAGAGAAATGGCTGATTTCAGGACTGGGGCAGGGTAGGTACAAGATGAACCTGGAACATTTTGTCATGCCAGAAATTAAGCACTTAGAAGGACACAAGAGTTTCCACTAGCTAATCCTGGGACAATTTAAACAGGAATTTTTCAGTACAATAGTTAATGAGTTATAAACCATTGAAAAAGTAGGAATTCGTGAGGCCAGAGTGATGATAAATAGATGAGTGGTGGAAAAGAGTACTTTTCATGCTTTTACAGTGGGGTGGCAAGAGCTGAATGTACATGTGAAGAGAGTTGGGAAATTATTTTCATAATTAACAGGATCAAATTGGATCACACAAGAATCATCGATGTGTGCTCAATATAAGAGGAAATTTTGATGAGGCACAGGATATTTGCATGATCATAAGCTCTCAAAATGCTTATAAAAATGTGAAAAATACAGTGGAGTAATCAGGCAACTTGACTGGTGATCAAAATTATCATCTCTCACGAGGAACAGATGAACATTATGTGCCTCTAGATGTACTATCCTGAGGAAGACTAAAAAAGTTGAGTATGCAGTATGTTAGCCAACAGTGTATAATCTAATCACAATAGGAAAAAATCAGACACAAAGTGAGAAATGCGATGATAATAAATAATAATATCCTGGGGAGAGGTATGCTTTCTCCAAAAAAATATTAATGTCTTCGAAGACAAAGCATGGGAATGTAAAGTAGAGCATAGAGAATATAGTCAGTAATATTGTTATTATGTATGGTGCCAGGTGGATACTAGACTTATGGGGGGGAGGGGAACCCATTGCAACTTACATAATTGTCTAAATACTGTGCTATACACCTGAAACTAAAATAATATTGAATTTCAACTGTAATTTAAAATTAAATTTTTTAAAAAAGAGGCTGTGAAATGTTCCAGATTAAAGTTAGCTAAAGAGAGAACAATGAAGATAATACCTAATCCTGTGCTGGAGGGAGAAAATGTTGTAAATTTTTTGATTAGCTGACAAATTGGAATATAGGCAGGAGATTAAATTGCATGAGTGTAAATTTATGAAGTTGACAACTATACTGTGATTATATAAGAGTCTCTCTATTCTTAGGAAATATACTTTGAAGTATTAAAAATTAAAGTGTGTGTGTGGAGAGAGAGTGAATGTGAATGCACGTGCAAATAATAAAACACAGAATAAACTTACAACATTGAGTGAATTTGGGTAAAAGATTTGTAAGTGTTCTTGTACTATTTTTATTTTGCAACTTTTATAAGTTTAAATTTATGAATAAAAATATTTTTAAAAAGTAGATTTGTGTAGAGCTTACTTTTTTATTGCCTCTCTGAAGAGATATATTCTGCCTTTATGCCCTCATTCTGAAAGATTACATAGTTTTTCCTTCCCTTTGCCTGCCTCCCCATCCCACTACAACATACATTCTTCCCCCATTATTCTTCTGGTACTACTTTCTGGCAAATAAAATCTATAACATGAACCACAGAGCTTTATCTACAAAAGATTTCATATCTGGGATTTTAAAACTTTCACATGTGGGATTCTCCATTTCCTAACCCCAAGTACATTCTAGAAGTGACTCCCAAGCTCTGTCACTTATAAATTATATAAAAGAAGTTGAAAGAAATTTGTCTAGCTAGCCAGTCTTTGTCTTCTTCAATCTAAAGCAAAGATGTCAATTACCTACCACCGCATAGTAAATACATCTATTATGACATTCTTTTCTGCTGCTCAGAACTTATTCCAGGAGTTCTGCAAATAGATACTGACTAATCATTGAGAGCTAGTACTTGAGTTGAAACCTATTTATTATTCGTGATCTGAGAAATTTCTCCTCAACTTTGAATAGTGTGCCTTCCTTTCAATCGAGGATTATATTCTGCTCCTAATCCACATTCTGTGCCATTTCATAGACCCAAATATTATTTTACTATTTGCTTTTTATGTTTTAAAAATACTATTTGGAGTTATGCACATACCTACCTGTACACACTTAGTCTGAGCCACAATACGGCATTTGTTACATAGACATGTCATGTGTTCCATCTCTATCACTGGACTCTTAAGTCTGAGGGTAAGTACCATGGCTTGTACCACTCTATTTAAAATAATCTAATCAGCCTGGCCAGTGTGGCTCAGTAGTTGAGCTTTGACCCGTGCACCAGAGGTCGCTGGTTCGATTCCTGGTCAGGGCACATGCCCAGATTGTGGGCCCGATCCCCAGTTGGCAGCATGCAGGAGGTGGCCAGTCGATGTTTTCTCTCATCGATGTTTCTCTCCCTGTCCCTTCCTCTCTCTAAAAATCAATGAAGAAAAAAACTAAAAGAATATAATCTAATCAATTTATATGTATTATGTTCTTTTTGCTTAGATTTGTTTCCTATAGCATTTTCTTCGTCTGTATATTATATTGTATTTTGTTTAACTATACACATGTCTGTGTTTGTCCCTGTCAAATATTTTTAAAGGAGTCAGCTTCTACAGTTTGGCTCCCATTATTAAACAAGTATTGGCTAGCTAGGTCTCATTTTAATTGGCAGAGCTTAGAAGAGTTAACCTGTTGGCCTGATTCTCTTTATACCCTGTTTTCTACTTGAAGACATTCCTATTTTTAGTACCATACATTTTTATTAGCTGTGGTTGAGCTGTTAGAATTGCAGTCTTGGTTTAAGCTAAATTACACCTTAATCGTTGCCTGTGAGTTTATTTTGTTCAAATGAAATCCTAAAGTGAATTTTTTCATGTTAGCTTTTCTCTAAGATTTTACTGTTTTATTTCTGAACAAGAATTGGTTCTCTTTATATTTTAAGATCTTAGATATATTTGTACCAACTAAAAGAATAGTTTTTTGCAGAGGCAAGAGTATTCTCTCAAGTTATTTGTTAATTTCAGTGGGAAACAAACTCTAGGATAGGTATTTTCCTTCCCAATCTTGATTCTGTTCCCTGATATGCTGGACATGACTTGTCATTGATGATATAATGTATGCCAAAAGTATGTGAAATATATTGATAATGCAAAAGTAAGTTGATATTAGGTGAGCTTATTTAGTTTTTATGAATAATTAAGATTTGTAAATGTGATTTGATTTAAAGAAAAATAAATTTTATAGTGGAGGATGAGAAGTAATGTATAAATGAGACCCTAAAAAAATATAAAATATACCTAAGGCAGAACATTGCGACGTGTTCCCTAATTAGTCACACATGGCTAGTGAACAACACAAATATAGATTACCTCGATTAGGTATAAGAAAAACAAGTGTTTTTAACCCAACAGTCAAACTTTTAATCCACTTCAAGATCTCCAAAAGCTGTTTCCATAGCAATGACAAACAATTAGATCATGGAAAATCATTGGAGGGTATGTAGTTGCAAGAAACATGGGCAAAGATATTAATATCTCAAGATTTTTATGAAGAAGTCTTAATATTTACTTTAATTGGGAATGTCATAGAAGTTGATGTAAGTCAAAATAGAAAATGAAACATAGTGGTATAGTCAATTATTTTTTTAATTATAGTTGACATTCAGTATTTATATTAGTTTCAGGTGTACAGCATATTGGTTAGACACTTATACAAGTTACAAAGCGATCCCTGAGTCTTGTACACACCTGAGACCATACGGGGATGGCAAAAGTAGGTTTACAGTTTGTATGGGTAATAAATAATATAAAAATAAACTCTTACATACTCATAACTGTAAACCTACTTTTTTTGCCCCACTTTGTATTGTTGACTATATTCCCTGTACTATACAGGAGTTGATGTCAGAGATTTTTTGTTTGTTTTTTACTTTATTTGTTAATCCTCACCTGTGGATATTGTTCCATTGATTTTTATACAGAGTGGAAGAGAGGGAAAGAAGAGAGAAAGAGAGGGAAACATGGATTGGTTGCCTCCCACACAATCTCTGCAACTGAGGTACTTGACCAGGAATAGAATCCATTACCCTTTTTTGGTCTGTAGGCCAACACTCTAACCACTGAGCAACCAGCCAGGGCAGGTTGAGTTTTGAAAAGAATAAATAGTCATTTGCTAGGTGAGCAGGCAGAAAATAGCTAATGTAAAGACCTGAAGATGAGATTAAGTTTGATATTGCTAGGTTATAAAGTACTGATGAGACTAGACATAGTAGATCAAAAAGGGCCTCATAATTGTAAGGATTTGGATTCTAAGGTGATGGGAAGTCAGTAGGGGGAATTAGGCAAGGGAAAGATGTGAGACAAATTATATCAAGCTACTTAATATTTTAATTATGGTCAACCTTGCCTCATTTTGGTAAGTAAATGACATTTGATAATATAGAGTGGTGGTGTTTGCCTCTTTTTACAAATCTTGACAAATATGAGATACACCTCACATTTCTATCACCATGACAGTGAGTCTCATGAGGGAACAAACCAAAACCTCCTTATCCAGGAATGCACTTACTGAGTGATAGTTATTACTGTTGTTGGCAGTAGCTTCTAACACTTCAACTTCAAGTACCACTCCCTAAGCTTTTGGAAAAGAAGTTGCATAATTTATAAAATAGGACTTAAATATTCTAGAAACAATCTTATTTAAAGATCTTACCGTTTTATGTCAAACCATATGAAGTTGCTAACATTTTGACACATTTTGAGCTACAAAACTTTTTATGTAATTTAACCCAATACATTTAATAATCTGTTTTTATCAATGGGCCCCTAGTTTATTTGCTTTTGGGAGTGGAGTAACATCCGTTGTCTTTTATCACTTATATCTATCTGTATTGACGGTAAAGATAATCTAATTTCTTAAACTTTAAATGTGGGAAACATATCTATTAGCTTAAATTGTGTGTCTGAAAACAAAATTCAGAAAGTCTTCCTTATTTCTTTAGAACGTCTAGGCCTTGTTTTTATCCAGAAGTCTGTGAGAGGGTTTGTCAAGTGGAGTCACAGAGTAAATGATTGCTTATGGTTTCTTCTGTCAGCTTTTAGTTTGGATGCTGAACAGCCTGACTATGATTTGGATTCTGAAGATGAAGTATTCGTGAATAAACTGAAAAAGAAAATGGACATCTGCCCATTGCAATTTGAGGAGATGATTGACCGTCTAGAAAAAGGCAGTGGTCAGCAGGTACAGCTTCAATGTATATATAATAAGTGTGTGTATATGTATTTATACAAATATCTACATTTATATGGAAATAATATAATGTTGGGGAGAGGTAAGTGAGCAGAGCAGGCTCTGGAATTAGTAAGCATGATGTCATATCCTGTCTCTGCCCTCTAAACCTGTGTAGTCTTGAGCAGTATGTTTAAATTACTCTGTGCCTTAGTTTTTCCATCTATAAAATAGAGATGATAAATATCATGGGATTGTTGTGAAAATAAAATAAAAAACAACATATATAAAGCATCTAGCTCAATGACTAACATGTAAGGTACTCTGTATTTGCTCTTGTAAACACTTGTTATTTTGATTGTTGTCATTTAAATTTGGAAGTACTTTTGAACCTTATATGTGTATATCATATGAAAATGACATAATAATTTTACATTTAGCCAGTCAGTCTGCAGGAAGCCAAATTGTTGCTAAAAGAAGATGATGAGGTCATCAGAGAAGTTTATGAATACTGGATTAAAAAGAGAAAAAATTGTCGAGGGCCATCTCTTATCCCATCAGTAAAACAAGAGAAGCGAGATGGTTCCAGCACAAATGATCCTTATGTGGCTTTTAGAAGACGTACTGAAAAAATGCAGACTCGAAAAGTAAGTGAATTTGAGAAATTTTGTAATTTTTTTTTTAATGTAAGAAAAACTGTTTATAGTTATGAGTATCTCAATATCTGGAGGCTATGTTTTAATTTGTGTTCAAATAGACTTTCTGTATAATATAATGAAAAATACTAATTTAAAGTCATTTGGCCTTAAGATTCATTATGAAGCTATTGGTATATTTTAATGCTTATCTGTTTAAAATCATATACAAAATTGATTTCCTGATGCTCCATGACCTCTTTCAGTGTTTTTAAATTTTCTTCTATATATGTCAGTATCTATGTTCAGAATGCCACTAGCTAGAAATGCTTATTGACATTAAACAAGAATGTTTAGCCCAGCCAGTGTGGCTCAGTGGTTGAGTGTCGACCCATGCACCAAGAGGTCACTGGTTAGATTCCTGGTCAGGGCACAGGCCCATGTTGTGGGCCAGATCCCCGGGGGGGGGGGGCATGTAGGAGGTGGCCAATTGATGTTCTTGCTCATTGATGTTTCTATCTCTCTCTCCCTCTTCCTTCCTCTCTCTCTAAAAATCAATAAAGAAAAGATTTTTTTTAAATAAATAAACAAGAACGTTTATATTTACAGAATCGCAAAAATGATGAAGCCTCTTATGAAAAAATGCTTAAGCTGCGTCGAGATCTAAGTCGGGCTGTTACTATTCTAGAGATGATAAAAAGAAGAGAAAAGAGTAAAAGGGAATTATTGCACTTAACACTGGAAATTATGGAAAAGAGGTAAAGTATATTTTAATAGCATTAGGAAGTATGATACTATAAGCATTTTGTATACTGAGTTAATTTATTTCTTAAGCAATTATCTGTAACTCCAGAAATATCTTTTAATAATAATTAGAAACTATTTAAATGTGTGGTATAATATACTTTGTACAATTTTACGTGTGTTACTCTATTTTTTTAAAAAGTGACCGTGTTCAGAAAAATTGAAATATGCCAGGTATTTCCATTGCGAATTTTTTTTTTTGGTCCTTAAGTGAGTGTGTGCATGGTAACAACAAGAGAGAAAAGAGAGAACATTTGTCAATTTAATGTTTTTATTTTATTCAGTAGATGGTACTATTTAAAAAAAACTATAAGGGTGAGGGGAAAAGACCCATAACCTTAACACTCAAATAACCATTCATCAAGGTACATGGTGAAAACTTCAAGCCTTACTCTGCTATTTCCTAGTCCGATCCCCAGAGAAAACCACTATTGAATTTCTTGTGGTTCAGTTCAGGAAAATAAGTTTTATAGCACAGGCAATTCAAATTACCAGAAAGTTCCTTAGCGCCATTTTAGGCATTAACTTCAACATCTCCACCAAATCTTTCACCAAACTGCTAAGTTAAAATTTGAACTGTTGCCCTGGCCAAGTGGCTCAGCTGGTTGCCATGTCATCCGGATACAACAAGGTTTCAGATTCAATCCCCAGTCAGGGCATATATAAAAATCAACCAATGGAATGTATAAGTAAGTAAATCAACAAAATCAATGTTTCCTTTTCTCTCTCTCTCTCTCCCTCTCTCCCTCTCTCTCTCTCTCTCTCTCTCTCTCTCTCTCTCTCTCTCTCTTTCTTTCTCTTTTTCTCTTCCTCTCCCCATCTTCTCCACTCTTCCCCTCTCCCCTTTCTCTCTCAAATCAATAAATAATTTTTTTTTTAATTTTGAACCTTTGTTTTTTCCCCACAATCTTCTATTTATGTTGCTAAGATAATGCTATAAGCCAAAAAGTAAAAGGAATTCTGTAATCTTTTATTTTAATGAGCATTCAGCAAATTAGTCAAAGTTTAACTGTAATTTTACCAGATCTAATCAGTGTTTATAATTATATCTCAGTTCTTATTAATCAGAAGGCTGAGTACTTACAGAACTAACTTTTTGCACTTTCTTTTTTATAATTTCAGGTATAATTTGGGTGACTACAATGGAGAGATTATGTCTGAGGTTATGGCACAGAGACAGCCAGTGAAACCTACATATGCCATCCCCATCATCCCTATTACTAATAGCAATCAATTTAAACATCAGGAAGCAGTGGATGTGAAGGAGTTTAAAGTTAATAAGGTGATACAAAGTTTTGTGATTATAGTAGCTGATAATGGAGTGGTATTTTATCATTAGAATCAGAGTGAAAAAGAAAAAAATATATAAACCCTACCATGAAATGTGCTACAGAGCCAGATTTTGTTTCAAGACTGGGCTTTTGATACAACAGTAGAGCTTATAAATAATAATTAACTTTGTAATTAACTTTTCCAAAACAACCATAATGCCATAAAGTGCATAAAACTTGACAGAAAGAAATATTTAGCATGTTTACATGCACATGATACTTGCCGTGATCTTTTTATTCCCAACAAATACCATTTTTGCCTCTAGTCTTTCTTTCCTTTTTCCTACACATCAAATGCATACCTCTCCTAGCCTCTGCCGCCCCTGCCATTCATATTTCTAACATGCCTTTTGTTCGTCAGCTCAATCACACTCACCTATGTATTTTATCCTTGTGTTTCCCATTTAATGATTTTAAATATTTATCCTCTAAAACTGTTCAAAATTCACCATTCCAGAATGCCTTCATTGTTTAGCTAGTAGTAAATATTTACTGCTTTATATTTTCCTAACACCTCGGCATTATGGATTTATTTTCCACTATATTAACAGTAAACTGAAGTCCGCTCTGTGTATATGTGCAATTTTTTCATTATCATTTTCCCCATGTTGATTTGTTAATTTTTTAGAATAAAGACTAGATATCCTTTTATAAATTCTCTCCTAGTATTTTTATAGAAAATTAAGAAAAAGAAACAGGAAACCACAGTAAATACTAATTGCAGTTACAGGGTTTCGGAAGCTGGAGAAGACTCTTTTCCTTTAATTGGAACAAAATACTTGATCAGATTACGAAGAAGCATATTCACGTTTTCAGAGACCAACCAAACTCTAAGACTTTACCATACAAAATGGCAGAACTTAAGAGTCTTGTATCTCCTGTGAGAATGCCTTTATTATAGCAGTGAACTTCTTTTAAAAACCCCAAAACTGCAGCTTTATTGACTGGTTTCCTATGTTTGATTAACTCATGACTTTATTGCAGCAAGATAAAACCGATCTTATCCGACCTAAACGTAAATATGAAAAGAAGCCCAAAGTCTTACCATCATCTGCTGCTGTTCCTCCGCAACAGACGAGTCCTGCTGTACTGCCAGTCTTTAATGCTAAAGATTTAAATCAGTATGATTTTCCCAGCTCAGATGAAGAGCCTCTCTCCCAGGTAAACATAAGAATTTTTCTATGAATATAGAGGAGAAATATAGGAAGTCACATGTTTTGACTCACTGCATTTTATTTAAAGGTTTTGTCTGGTTCTTCGGAAGCTGAGGAGGAGAATGATCCCGATGGTCCATTTGCTTTCCGTAGGAAAGCAGGCTGTCAGTACTATGCTGTAAGTTTCAGGCTCTTTTTTAAAATAATGAATGATTTACCTTTAACTGACCAAATAAAGTAATTTAGATTTTTTGTTAAGCCTCACTTAGACCAAACTGGCAACTGGCCTTGGACCAGTCCTAAGGACGGAGGATTAGGGGATGTGCGATACAGATACTGCTTAACTACCCTCACCGTACCCCAGAGGTGTATTGGATTTGCACGAAGACGGGTTGGGCGAGGTGGAAGGTAAGGTATTTCTGTATTCGAAGCATAGGGATGTTGTAGACAGTAGGGTAATCGAATTTAAAATTTAAAGTGTAGGTTAGGGTAGCTCATTTGTCCCATTTGCTGTTCTTGACTGATTTTTTGTTTGAAATACTTTGTCTTGCTACCTGGTTGTTATACCGCCATAGCCATAGTATTTAACGAATAACTAATGGATCCCTAATGTACTTGTTCTTCCCAAGTTAGAAAACCTCAGATATCTATCCTCACAGATAGAATTCTGATAAAAGGCACCAGATAAAGGCAAGTCATGATTGTATAAATTGTTTTAACTTAAACTACAGACATTTCAGGAATTCTGGAAGATATTGAATAAAAGGATTAAATGGACTAAGAAATATCATATATAGTATACTGAGTTGTTTAACTTGTCAGTGAAAAGGCTCCAGGTTCCATGTATGACCTGATCTTGACATCCTAGATTGTCAGGATCTAATTGCTCTTCTTCCTTTGTTTAAACCTGTTAGAACTCCTTCATACTCTAGATACTTTTGTGTAAGAAGTTGTATGGGGGGAGGAAGTAATTGCAGAATGCATAAAAGCAAAAAAAAAGAAAGCCTTTATGTAAACTGTGAAAAGAATTAAAAGGCAAAACAGATAATATCAAAGTGCTTTCAGGAAGAAACCTAAGGGTATGATTTATGATAAATAAATGGTTTACACATATGTTTGTTTCATTTTTTAATCTTAGTTGCAGTTCTTATATTACTTAAACAGTTTAGAATTATCCAGACATCAAAACACTTATTTTTTAATTGAGCTATTGGAGTTACAATGGTTAATAAATTATAGGTTCAGGTGTATAGTTCTATAATACATCATCTGTATATTGCTTTGTATGTTCACCAACCGAAGTCAAGTCTCCTTCCATCTCCAAAATACATTTTATTTAGCTTTTTTTCCCAATATCATTACAACTGACATCAACAGTAGTGAAAATTCTCTATGTTGGCTATATTATTCTGTACTATCATTAATTTTATTCTATACTTTAACATTTTAAGATAAAGTCATTTTTAAAGTTGATATTAGTAACATCTCAAATATTTTATCTTATTAGAAATTTTAATGGTATAACATAACATAAAGATCACATACCTTTTACTGCTTTTCTCCTACTTCCTCCCCCACCCCCCCAAAAATGAAGTTTTTGCTTAAATAGAGAACAAATATTTTAGCAACATTTTGTCAAGTGTTCTGGTACTTGTAATGGAAGTGAAAGTCTTCAGTTTAAAAGAAATTTGAAAAGAAAAACACTTTTATATGTTACCAGTAACTTAGAACTGTTGCAACTCTTACTATTGTAGAATATTTACCTTATTCTCTGAGGTGGATTACTCTCTTATTTAATCAGATCATTATAACATAAAAGAAAGAATCTTTATTAGATACTGAGATTTTAGCCTATAGTGCCAAATACTGCAATAATCAAATTTAAATACTCAGTATGACATGGCTTTTTGGATTTGGGTGAAAGAAAGAAAAACATTTTTATATATAATTTTTGAATAGCTATGTTACATACATGTTTACTGTCTTATTTTTAATAGGGTCTTACTGGACAGAGCTCACTCAGACTATGACAGTATGCTCCGCCATCTGGATTTGGAAATGCTTTCCTCACTACATTCTCCAGTCAATCAGTCTGCCAATACCTCAGAAACAAATACCTCGGACAAATCTTTCTCTAAAGACCTCAGTCAGATACTAGTCAATATCAAGTCATGTAGATGGCGGCATTTTAGGCCTCGGACACCATCCCTACATGACAGTGACAATGATGAACTCTCCTGTAGAAAATTATATAGGAGTATAACTCGGACAGGAACAGCACAACCTGGGACCCAGACATGCAGTACCTCTACACAAAGTAAAAGTAGCAGTGGTTCAGCACACTTTGGTATGTTTATTTGTTATGATGTACATTTCTGTGGAAATGTCAGGTTTATCAATTTTTTTAATATGTGGTTTATTATATTTATGACTAAAAGCCCTTTTGTCTCAAAATAGTTAAAAAAAGAAAGACCTAGGTTTACATATTTATTTGAATCCTGTTTGTACATGTGTCTTCATTTAAACATACCCACATGCAAAGAGGTGGTTTATTACTACAGGGTGGGACAGTAGGTTTACAGTTGTTCACATGGAAAAATAATACAGTAGAATAATAGAATAAACTTCCGTGTTTTGAATACCCACCACTGTAAACCTAGTTTTGTCCCACCCTGTATTTAATGTATAACATTTGTTTCCTGGATGCACTCAGAACCACAAGATTGAACAATTATATTTTCAAAATAATATGGGGGGAAAAAGGCCATAAATTGTTATTGTTTAATGCTTGGATACCTCTCTAGTCTTTCACTTAGACTGCTTAAAAGTAGACCAGCAAGTTGATAGATACGTAAAGCTCATCTGTTAACAGTAATTCAGAATAATTTATAAGAGAAAAAGTAATTTTTCACAAAACAATATTTAAGTTAAAAGATTATTTTAATTTTGGAAACATATTTAGATAATATCTACTTCAGCATTATGGCTACTTTGTGAAATGTATCTAAAATAAATGCTGTCTAATTAAAATATTTCTAAAATTTTAGCTTCTATTTTAAGCATAAATGTGTTATTTGAGGCATGTAGATTATAGAAATCCACTGTTAAAGTTACTACAGATTTTTGTAAAGATAATTTAAATACAAATTTTGAAAGGACTATAAAGATACTTATTTTGTTCCACTAATCATCTGGTAAAGCTATAGTATAACTTTCTAATAAATCTGAAAATGTACTTAAAGCCCTCCAGAAAAGATTTCATAAATAATTTACTTTGAGAATAGAAAAAAAAAGTGCTCTGTGAAGTCTTTTCAGCTCATAAGAAAAATAATCAAGTTGTTTTGTTTTTGTCTGTTTTTACAAATTAACTAGAAGATAATGTAAATTATCTGAACACTAACATTGTTTATAGTTCCATTAATTTCAGTCTGTATCATGAAGAGTTCGTTTCTCTCTGATTTTATAGTTTTAATCAAAATGAAGAAGGATTTATTTATAGTTAGTATAGAGATTTTAAAAGTATAAACTTGTAATATGTTTCCCTGATAAAGATTTTTAAGCTGTGTAAAATTCTTCGAAACTTCTCATTGAAATTTGGCATGTTCCATCATCAATCCCCATATTTTTCACTTCTTAGAATAAAGAAGCTCAGTTGTATAACAATCCTTAGGATCTTGTAGTGATCTTTTTTAAGTAAATTATTTTGCTATACAACTCTAGTAAGCATTGGTATTGTAAAACTTAACTTGATTGGTATTAGCCAAAGAATATTAAAAGGTGAACATTGAATAGAAATATTACCAAAAGTTTAGCTGGAAAAAAATCTTTAGTAACTCTAATTTTCTTTTTAATTATTTCCTTCCCTTATATATGTGATATAACTTTTTTTTAAATGGGTTTATCATTTTTTTTCTGTTGCACTGAATTACTTTCTGTTTTCCCTTCAATTTTACTAGTTTCTTTATGCTTGGAGAGTAGATAGATGCCTACAGATTGCTGTAGAGTAGTGCTTTGTTCTTTCATATTTGTGAATATTCCAGAAGCCTAAAACTTTCCTCTTTATGCTCTGTAAAGTGCATTACAGTGGAGTTACATCATATGTACATTTAAGTGAATTCAACTGTTAGATGCCCTAAAGAGGAAAAAAAAATTTAGCAGTTCAAATGTTATACAGGGTTTTGAATCTACAATTCTACTAAAAGTAAAATGTATTTGCTGGTGTGAGCCACTATGGGAATGGGAGAAGTGCATATTGTTTGAGTAGCATCAGTGCCTGCATTGATATTTCATTCATAGGTTAAGCATCTTACCTCGGGCAGTGTAATTATAGTTTTAAAGTTTGTTTTCTGTTTTGTTTTTTTCATGTAACATGAGCCACAAATACTACTTCATCTGGTACTCAGCCACAGAAACTTGGATCTAGTCTGATGTCAGAAGTAAAACTGGCTGTGTTGGGTTTATTGAAAGATGTCTGCATTACATGGTGCACTGCAGAGGAATTTTTTTAAAGCTTAGTTTTTACTGACTTTAGAACTTAACCATTGAATAAGATATGAGTCAGTTGATATATTTGCCTGCTACTTAAACTGGATTGGTGGATTTTGATTTAGACATTTTTTATTATTGTTTTTTTTTAATGTTAATATGTGTGCTGTGACAAAAGTGATGCCCTCTGGACTGAGTTTTCCCTTTCTAATTAATCATCTACAAGGGCTTGTTTATCCTTATTTTCAAATAGGAAATTCTAAATGAGGATATCAGGAGCCCATTATTTTTTAATAAAGGGAATAAGCTTTTTTAATCAATAAAAGCACCTTTGAAAATTTAGTCTTTGTTCAGTAACTAAGTATTATTTGCATGTATCTGAGTTGGGAGATATCACATGTCAGAATATTCCTTTTATCATAATTAGAGAGGACTCTATAATTCAGAAAGACTAAAAACAGAAAAGTGATTTTTAAACCACCATTATATGTTCAGGATTTGAGTTCCCAGTTCCCAATGAAATTTCATCAGCATACTAAGTCAGTTTTCTAAGCTCACATATCCATTAAAGACTTGATTTATTTTCATAAGTGAATAGGAAATTTGTAGTTCGAATGTTATATTCTAAGTCTCAATATCTGTAACTTACTTAGTGCAATTTACTTCAGTTTGTAACATAAAATTTTAATTTTAACTCAGAAAAGGAACTCTAGATTTGAGCACTGAATATTTTCATTGTTGGATTTTGTAAGTCCACAAGACCTTAATCCTTATCCAAATGTTTTTCAAAATTCAGAATTGCATTCTCAGCAGTCTCAAGTAGCATCCGTAATAGAATACAGTACTAGTTCTACAGTTTTACAGTGACATGCAAGAATAGTCACACTAAGCAGAATGTTTGACCGCAAATAATCTCGTGTTCAAGTCATTTTGCGACCAAATGAATTCATATTCAGTCGTGTTTTGCCATCAGATGAATTACCAAACCTATTTTCATATTGTATTTCTGTGTGGCTGGTAAATGTTCATAAGCCTCAATCTAAACTGTCAATTCAAGCTTATTGATTAGGGGGTCATACTTTAATACTGTCTAGAGTCATTCCATTTTATATTTACTTCTTTAAAGTTAACATTTTTCCTGTACTAAAATAACTTTCTGCCTGTGTACTCCTGCTCAAAGAAATTGTAATTGAGGGCTATCTTTTAAAATAAGTATTTGGGTTTGTTGAAGTATTTTGTTGTCATGTTTTTTTTAACAAAATACACATTGTAGTAATCTAGAATCCATCTTCTCAAACTGAATTTTTAAATTGTTGATTTTTTCCTGAGTACCTGTTACCCTCCCCACCTGTACTTCCTTGATCATTTCAGTTTATCTGCTCCCACTGCTAAAATGTGACCTAAAGGACTGCAGCCTGAGCTACAGGCTGTTCCAGCTGCAGATGTACTGCATGATAGTTCCCTTGTATCAGAAGTGGACTCGTAAAATCTTAGACTCTTTCATCTATATTTCTACCCCAGAAATTGTAGAAAGCTACCAAAATAACAATAGTTTCTGACCTCTGCCTAGACACCTCTAGTAAGGGCAAATTCAACAATTTTCTTGACCAGGTTATAGTATGTTTGGGTACCTTGTTTAGAAGTTTGTTCGTATCATGAACAAAAACTGTCTCCTTAAATTGAAATCTTTTGGTTCCTGTTTTGTCTTTGGAAGCATACTGAATAAGTTTTCTTGATCTCTAACATCATATTGTCGTTCAGTATTTGAAGTCCTGCCCTGTCTGGTTCTGTTCAGTGGTTAGAGCATTGGCCCTCAGACCAAAGAGTCTCGGGTTCGATTCCAATCAAAGGCATGCCACCTCGGTTGCGGTTCATCCCCAGCCCTGGTTGGGGTTGTGCGGGAGGCAACCAGTTGATATGTCTCTCTCACATCGATGTTTACCTCTCATTCTCTCTCCCTCTCCGTTTCTCCCTCCCACTCAATCTGAAGATAAATAGAAAAATATCCTCTGGTGAGGATTAAAAAATATACATATTTGAAGTCCTGTTGTGCTTCTTTATGATTCTCAGCTTTTAATCATGTCCCCTCACATCACTCTTCACTGCCTAGACTCCTGTTTGTTAGGTGCTATATACGAGATATTTTAAGCACTTGATTAACACTGTTGCACATACAAATTTTTATTATCTCACAAATAATATTAAATCTAAAACTAACTTTTGTCTATTTTTTTATATTTAAGATCGCATTGGTTTGGGTGGGTTTCCCCCCCCTTCATCTAGTAAATATCTTTGTGACCTCAGATGAAAGTCTCTTCATCTCTATTATGAGGTTGTAGGAGTCGAGATCACTAAGGATTTCTGCTGATTTAAAATTTTTTGGTTCTTTGAAATGATTCTGATTCTATCGACAGAAGTACCACCTTGTCCATCTTTGTGTGAATTGCAAACTTGACCACCACACCATAATATATGGAGGTAGACATGCAACCTAAAAACTTCTTACCTTGATAGATATTTAGGGAAATGTGGTCATATTTATTTATTTACACTTAGCATTTTGTTACACTTTGAATTATGATAGCATCCAAGGTGTTCTTGGTTTTCTGTATAAATATTAATATAAAACCCAGTTCAGATTGTACTTGGCTTAATTTACTACCTTACCAAGCTTTCCTTTCATTTACATAGCCTTTTGAATTGGGATTTTTATGTCAGAAGAAATTTAAAATCTTAGCATCTCATGGCTAAAAAAGAGCTCTAGTCATCACCTATTTAATCTTTCTATTCTAGGTGAACATAATGAGTCCCAAAAGATTAAATAACTTGCCCAGGTATACTCTACTAGTATGATAGACCTGAGAACCAAAATAACAATCAAGATCTCTTGGCCCCCCAGACCCATGGTTTTTACTACCATTGCTTTCAGCTCATATATCTGTACAGTTCTTCAAGATCATTTATCAAAAATATCCAGGGAAGCCCTGGCCGGTTTGGCTCAGCGGTTAGAGCGTCCGCCTGTGGTCCGGAGAGACCCGGGTTCGGTTCCCGCTAAGGGCGTGTGCCTCGGTTGCAGTTTGTCCCCGGCCCTGGTTGGTTGTGCGGGTGGCAGCCACTCGATGTGTCCCTTTCGCATCGATGTTTCCCTCTCTCTCTCTTCCTCTCTCTCCCTCCCACTCTGTCTGTACAAAAAGTGGAAAAATGTCCTCGGGTGAGGATAAAAAAAAAAAAAAAGAAAGAAAAAAATATCCAGGGAAAATTTTATAACTAGTCTCTAGAATATAGAGATATCTAAGAAATGGGCTAACATAGTGATCTAAAATGTCAGATGCACCCGGCCAGTGTGGCTCAGTGGATTGAGCTTCATTTCGTGGAGTGAGAGGTCCTGGTTTGGTTCCTCCTGGTCAGGGGACATGCAGGAGGCCGCCAATCTATGTTGCTCTCTCACATCAATGTTTCTGTCTCTTCCTTCCTCTCTCTCTCAAAAAATTCAATAAAAACATATTTAAAGAAAAATAAAATGTCAGGTGCATTGTTATTTCTAAATCTGTTATTAGGAGGAAGTTAACAGTTTTTTAAAAAGTGGAATTCATGAGACCCTTAGAGACCAAGGATTAATTAAAATGTTTGTTTAAATAGGGCAAAGATATTTGGAACCTTTATTCAAATCATTTTTCAATTTATTATTGCTAAATTTTTTATTAAACCACACACAAACATATATGTCTATCTACTATACTGAATACTTGAAACTAATATATACTATATGTCAAATAAAATTGAAAATATTTTTTAAATTATTAAAAAAATAAAGATGAGAAAATAGAGATTGAACAAGGGAAAAAACATGCACACAAATACCAACAACGATCTACAAAAGAATATTTCCATTTATATAAATGGAGTTTTGTATATAGGTCTTCAATGAATGCTAAATTACTGACTTTCTAGATCTGTACTGACCTGACCTTCCAGAAATGGTCCCTTTTGATAAGAATTTACTGAGCATCACCTACTAGGAAATTTAAGACTCAGGCAACTCACTCAAATTAGGAATTTAAAGTATAAATCTCAAAAACATATTAGCAAAACTAATATTATGTTAATTATAAGCATTGAGGACAATCAGTTTTTGTAGATTTTCAAGTTCTGATCAACACATTTCTGTTATATGGAAATGGTCATGTTAACAGAAGATTACTTTTTATGTGAAAATTCAGGGATTATCCTGTTAATAAAAATCTTTCCTAGAGAAATCAGATCTGAGGACTTCAAACATAGTAGAAAAACTAATCAAAGAACAGATATCAACTAAATATATAACATACAAAATTTAAAACTCAATAGAATTTTCCCAACAGGAAGTTATTTTTTTGCTCTTGTCACTCCAAAACTAGGTTCAACTCAAGTTTTTAAGAGCCTCTGTAGATACGAATAACTTCTTTCACAATTTTCTGATCCATTCAAAATACGGTAGAATTTCTACCCAAATATGCTATAGTTGTACAAGGTAAAAGCTGTATATGTACTGGTAGATGAAGATTCTTCATGAGTTATAAGTGAAAATCACAAAACTTGATGAAGTGATATTCTAATTAAATCATCAAGATGCAGTTAAAAACAGCAACAAATTAGGTGGTAGTATTTTGAAAACATTCAACTTGAGATTGAGGAAACTTGCATGATTTATAAATTCCCTGGTACACAGGGATGCATGATAACCTTTTTTTTTGTTGTTTTATTTTGAAATAATTCTTACCTAAACATCATAGGCTTCTTAAAGAAGCCTTTAGGGTCAGATGTGTGATTGTGTGTGCTTTTTTTTTTTTTAATTGGCAAACTTTAAAAAAAGATAAAAGGTTTCCTTTTTAAAAACTGAACACACTTTTTGGGGGGTAATAAATGAACATTTTTTTGTTTGTTTTTTTTAGAACTGAGCTCTCCATAGACAAACATAAGTAGCATAACACAGTGTCTTTCCTCAGACATCATTCTGTACAGTAAATCAACATAAACAACTCCGTTCTTATTGACTGGATTTTTTCCAGGTGGGTTAATTGGGTGGGGAAAGTTAATTAACATATGGAGCCTCTTTTCTTCCTATTAAACTTAAAGGATGGGTTCTTTTTAAAAAAAAAAACAAAAACAAAAAAAACGGTAATAAACCAACAACCTTGTGTTTCATTTAGAGGAAATGTTTATGACAAAAATTAGAAAATATGTAGAACAGTTAGTATTCTATTAGGGATCGTCTAAATGCATTGAAACAGTAATAAGAGTAAACTAGAAACCAAATAGTAATTTTCAGATTTCTTCTCAAGCTCAGTGCAAAGTTGAATTTCCAATATGTGAATTTTTTTAAAAAGCTGGTATTACCTGATTATACAAGTGTCACAGCTTACAAAAATAACGGTTCTGCAACTTGGGAAGTGAACAGTTCTCTTTCCTATATTTAACTCAGGAAGTTTAATTTTATTTCTCTTTAGACTCAAGCCACTCTTGTTAAATGTGGTTGTAAAACTGCTTAAATTTTCATTTGAAAGTGATCTTTAGCAGGACCATGAGCTTTTGTCAAATGCTTTAATTTGCACAAATATTTTAATGCTGAAATTTTAATACTGTAAACTGTATAGTATTGTGCATTTTTATGAAGTGTTTCCTCATTTTTATGTTCAGCATTTACAGCCGAACAATACCAGCAACATCAACAGCAACTGGCACTAATGCAGAAACAGCAGCTTGCACAAATTCAGCAACAGCAAGCAAATAGTAATTCCTCCACCAACATTTCACAGGTGAGGGATTTGTCTGTCTTATGATTATCCCTCATTGTTTCCCACCAGAGTTCATCTCTAATTACCAACTGTTGTCATAGAACCTTGCATCTAACCATCAGAAAAGTGGCTTTCGCCTGAATCTACATCATAGCCATTCTATACAGGGTTTAGAAAGAACATTACAGGTGAGTATAGAAGCTGTTGCCTCTGCTCCCTATTTTAAAAAGTAAAACGAAAAAGCATAATTGAGATGGAGACCCAGTCTTCAAGTCTGCCTTATAGACTGATATACATCTTTAATATATAACCCCACTGACACCTAGCTCATTATCTTATTATTTTAATTATTATTACAATTTTATTAAAAGTTGTTATACTAAAATAATCTCTTTTAGAAGAAATCATTTTTTAAACCTAAAGCATGATAAATGTTTGCCATGTAAACACATTTAAGGCTTACAGGCTGAGATTTGCATTTCTAAACATCTTATAAGAAAAATTCAAGGACCTCTTAATTTCTAGGCTAAGTTCTAATACGATATTTTGTTACTTCCATTTTAAAGGGATAGTTATTTTACTATCCCAAAAGTGCCTTTGGTTATGTGTGTATATATGGTAAGTTAGGTGAAAGAAGTTTACTCATTTATTTATTATATGTACTTGCAGATCACTGAAATGTCTTTCCAGCTTATTATTTGCCCAACACTTTGTGTTGGAGATTTATTGTTTCCACATTATAGGAGGTTGATTTTGGTAATTGACTTGTCCATATTATATATTGTCACAAATGAAGACCAAATTCATAACCTTTGAGTTTTAAGATTACTTGAACATTCCTCAAATATGACTATCAAGAGAGTAAGATATATTCCAGTGGTTTGCCACTTTTGTTTATATTCATACTGAATTTGCTATACCTTTGTAGCTTTAATATTAATTTGAAACTAAGTGATGCTGATTAGATTTGCTTTTTATTTTATTTTTAGGGTTTTGTTTCTAAGACTTTGGATTCTGCTAGTGCTCAATTTGCTGCTTCTGCTTTGGTGACATCAGAACAACTGATGGGATTCAAGATGAAGGATGATGTGGTGCTTGGGATTGGGGTGAATGGTGTCCTTCCAGCCTCAGGTAAGGATAATGACATTTAAGTAGTTTTGATAAGATTTATAATACATAACTATAATAAACAGCCAAGTTGCACATTGTTTAGATGCTTCTTTCTTTTTCTCTAGGAGTATACAAGGGCTTACACCTCAGTAGTACTACACCAACAGCACCGGTACATATGAGTCCATCAGCAGCAGGTTCAACTTTGTTACAGCCTTCAAACATGACACAGACTTCAAGTTCCCACAGTGCACTGAGTCATCATCCAGCAACTGCTGCCAATTCTGCAACAACTCAGGTTCTGATTGGGAACAACATTCGATTAACTGTACCTTCATCAGTTGCCACTGTAAACTCTATTGCCCCCATAAATGCACGACATATACCTAGGACTTTAAGTGCTGTTCCATCGTCTGCCTTAAAGCTGGCTGCTGCAGCAAACTGTCAAGTTTCCAAGGTCCCATCTTCATCCTCTGTAGATTCAGCCCCAAGGTGAGTAGTTATTTTAAAACTGAAGTGCTTGAAAAAGAGATGTAACTTAAATTCTCAGACATTGATTTCTAATATGTGGCTTTTGCTCTTTTCTTTATATACATTAAAAATGTATAGATGACAGATAAATATGAACTCAATATTGTTGAAAATTTGTACTAAATTTGTACTATAGTGAATATTGCAAATATGATTTCGAATTTGGCCATCACTTTCTTAGTATGATAACAGCTTATTACGTTCCCATGCTTCTACCTCTGGATGGATGGAATTCTCTTTGGAATGCTTCTTTGTCTATGATTTCTCCCACAGCTTTTTGTGTAGACAGAACTGAGAGAACTCACATGGCTAGAGTGCTAAGCTGTTCTTAATCATGTAAATAAAGGCTTACAGTATTCATGTCAGGTCAACTTTTAATCAAACCATTATTTTGTATGCTAATTTGTCTTCTCAAGTTTCAGTAGACAGTTTAGAATGTTTGCTCGGGCTCTTAATTTTTTTAATATTAATGATAATTAAAGTCCTGCTGTTTACAAAGTACTATGGGGGAAGAAAAAGAAAGACAAGAAGTATTTCAGTTTAGTTAAAAGACAAGCATAAAAGTGTGAAAACTTAAGTAATATTGTAAATAATAGATGAAAATCATTCTAGAGGTATCACAAAGCATTATATGCTTGTCAGATTAATTGTATAGATTACGGCTATAATTTCAGTTTAAGGAGACATCTTTTCACACCAGGAGTGTTCTGGGAATGTTCTAAAATAAGATTAGATTTGAGTCCAGGCCAGTTTTCTCAATGGTTAGAGCTTCAGCCTGCAGACCAAAGAGTCATGGTTTCAATTCTGATCAAGGGCACATAACCTTGGTTACGGTTCATCCCCGGCCCTGGTCGGGGTTGTGCAGGAGGCAACCAGTTGATGTGTCTCTCTCACATTGATGTTTCTCTCTCTCTCTCTCTCTCTCTCTCTCTCTCTCTCTCTCTCTCTTCCCCCCTCCCTCCCACTGTATCTGAAGATAAATATATCCTCGGGTGAGGAATTTTTTTAAAAAACATTAGATTTGCCCAGGCCAGTTTGGCTTAGCAGTTAAAGTGTCAGCCTGCAGTTCAGAGAGACCTGAGTTCGGTTCCCGCTAAGGGCGCTTACGTCAGTTGCAGTTTGTCCCCGGCCCTGGTTGGTCGTGCGGGTGGCAGCTACTCGATGTGTCCCTTTCATGTGGATGTTTCTCTCTCTCTCTTTCTCTTCCTCTTTCTCCCTCCCACTCTGTCTGAACAAAAAATGGAAAAAAGTGTCCTCGGGTGAAGATAAAAAAAAAAAAATTAGATTTGATCTTGGTTGGGCAGAGAAGAGGAAGACAGAGAGCTGGGGAAATATAAATGTGTTCAGAAGTTAACAAGTAAACTAGTTTGTCTAGAGGTTTAGGAAGGTTAGTAGTTGAAGTTGCAGTGGTAGGAAAAGACAAGGCCAGACTGATATTTAGACTTCCTCTATTGTCAGGGTTTGTAACAACAAACTGTAGCCTTTAGTTTCCAAATTTATGCATCCCTGTCTGCTTCTAAACTTAATAATCCTTGTCTGCTCGATACTAATCTATTCTTACTAGTATTCTGGGTCTAATCAAAGTTAATCAGTTGTAGTTCTTAAATACATGGTTTTTATCATTATAGAATTATATAACCATAGAACATTTACAGTATATGAAAAACTATTTTTTTTATCCTCACTCAAGAATATGTTTTTATTGATTTTAGAAAGAAAGGAAGGGAGGAAGAGAAACATTGATGTGAGAGAGAAACATCAATTGGTTGCCTCTTATACATGCTCCAACTGAGGATTGAACTTGCAACCTTTTTGGTGCACAGAACAATGCTCCAATCAACTGAGCCACCTAGCCAGGGCTGGAAAACTTTTTATATGACTTATTTTAGTCCCTTTGTTTTAAAAATGAAGAAACTGAGACCCAGAGAAGCTAACTGATGTCTCAGCAGTCTGGGTGCTAGAACAACTAAGACCCTGGTCTTCTGACTCCCAGCTTAGTAGCTGTCCTACTGTGCTCCGTATATAAAACCTTACTTAAAGTCTTGACATAAATGAACCTTAGCCACATGTGTTTTTGGTTTTGTTTTTTTAACTGTTATGAAAGGCTTATTAGAGGAGGAAATTGAAACCAAAAACTGAAACTTAGGAATTCAGTGTTTAGGTTGGGTGCTACCAATTATGTTGGTGCATTTTGATTATGTTAATCAAACATGTTGATTATGGAGTTTATAAGCCTGACTTCTGGTTGTGTGTTTCTGAGAGTAAACTAAAAGGTTCCTATTCCTCTATGTGCTATCTTTCCCAAGAGTCAAATTTCTTTCTATTATTAAAAATATTTAAACTTTGATTGGGAAAATAGTCTTGGTTTGTTCAATTTATATTTGTTAAATTTGTTGCAGAAAAGTAATTTATTGAACTTTATTTCAACAGGGAAAATCATGAATCAGAAAAGCCAGCACTAAACAGCATAGCAGACAATACAGTAGCGATGGAGGTGACGTAGCTTTCTCAGGAGTGGAACTGCAACCTGGGGACTTGATTAGGTGCTATGCATCAGTAGCATTTTGAATGCAGGGGATGATGGAATGCAGCACATGCATTTCTGTGGCAGCTGTGGGGACTTTACAGCAATGCTCATCTCTCATGCTTCAATTTTTCTTTTCTTACTGTTAATAGGAAAAAATCAACATCTGTAAATTAAGAATACAGCAATTATCTGTACAGTACTGCATATTTGTAATACCCTTGTATATATGTTACTTGACTACAGAAATGTTCATTTGTGATGCTTTGCACTTGGGGGTGGGGGGTGGGAGGGAAATAAATTGCAGCAAAGAGTGTGAGATGTGAGATTGTATAGAGATGAAGTGTCATCACGTGCATGGTGCGGAGCCTGCTGTTTGATCTATTTATTGTGCCGTGTTTACAGTTTTTTGTACACTGTACCTTCATTGGTTCCTGTGCTGTAGTAAATGTGTTAGGTAGCTGTGGACTCCTTGGTATTTTGTAAATGGTATAACATAACTTGGTTCCCCTCTGGGTCCCTGAGTTTTCTGTGTATCATGTGAAAAAAATGGTGACATACATACAGAATTTTACAAAAAAAAAAAAAAAAAGGCATCAGTTTATTAAAAAAAAAAGGGGGAATGTACTGTTAAATGGGGATCTTCCTGGTCTACTATCATTAGGATAAGTAACAAGCTAAAAATGAAGTCTCTTGAATCTTCCCATCCCCACTTGCCCACAAAGGCTGTGGGTAGTTTCTGGTACTTAAAGCACTAATGTTATGTTGCTGCTCTACAAACAGCCCAGTAGTCCCATTTCCTTCCACACCAAAAAGTGTTAAATCAAGTATGCAAATGGAGTCCTTACAACTGGAGTTTATGTTGTCTTGCCCTTTTTTTTTTTTTAGCACAAAAGAAATTGTACTTTTTTATTGTCGAATTGTTTAAAAGACTTCATTCTTTACTTGTTCTTACAATAAGGATATAAGGGAGAAGAATGCAGTAATTGCTGTACGTGTATCATCATTCCAGTTTCTAAAAACAGCCAGCCAGCTTTTTTCCTTTTAAGATTCTCCAGAAGGCTGTAAGGCCAGAACCACACATATCGGGTGCCTTCCTTTGGAAATATTTGACCTCTCTTCTGTGAAGAGAATGGTACTTAACAGACTACTACCAGTGCTTTGTCAGTACCGAAGTCTGAATGCCCAGTCCAATGGCATACATTATCCTTAAGGTTTTTAATCCCACCTGGAAAAAATTGTGATAGAATTCTCACAAAATAAACCCAGGGCATTACATGTTGACAAACTAATGTGTAGTGGTCTTTTGCTTTTATTTTCACCCCAAGAACATTTGTGTGACTTTAATTGTTCAGTAAAAGGGGGCACGGGAATGGAAGTGATGACTTTAAGTTCATTTTTACAACAATTGTCTACTGAATGATTCTCTACCTGGGACTATTTCAGTCCAACAACAGTGAAAAAATTCCTGCCCTCATGGAGTTTATAATCTCATTAGATGATTAAAAACAAAATTAATAAGCTAGATTTAAGTGTTATTATGGTAAGTATTGGGGGGTGGGGGGGAGTAAGGCAAGGACAGTGGGAGAAGCAGTGCCGGGATCGGGTAGAGGGTGGATAAGGAAGATGGTTTCATTTGATCAGAGACTTGAAATTGGGAGGAAAGCATTATAGGCAGAGGGAATAAGTACTAAGATCCTGAGGGAGTGCCTGGTTTGCTAAAGGAATAGGAATTTGGTGCAACAGGAAAGAAGAGTAGATAGGTCAAGGAGTAACGGGGAGCCTGGTTGAGGATATTAAGGACTTTGTCTTTTCCTCTTCTTGAGAAAGGAGTTTGGAGCAGAGGAGTGATGTGATGTCAACAGGCTTATTCTGGCTTTAGTGTTCAGAATACACTGCAGGGGGTGCCCAGTTAGGAAGCAAATTGTAATAATCGAAGTGAGAGGTAATAGTAACATGGATAGTAGTGAAAAGTAGTTGAATTTTGTTTATATTTTAAAGGTTGACCCAGTAAACTTTGCTCACTGAATAAGTGTGAGGAACATGAGAAAAAGATGATTGAAGGATGACTCCAAAGTATTTGGCCTAAACAACTGGCCACTGTTGGAAAGCACTGCTGGGGGAGTGGGTTTAGGCAAGTTCAGTTTTGGACTATTTGAGGTCTCCATTAGACATCCAACTAGAAATGTCAAATAGGCAATTGCATTTAAAAGTCTGATATATGGAGGAGAGTTCTGGGCTGAAGGTCAGAACTTGAGTCATCTTCATAGATGATATTAAAAGCCATGAATCTGGGTTAGATCAAGAGAGTGGGATTAAATCTGGTGTAATAAATACAGCTGTCACTGATTGGGTGTTTTAGATTATTCTCACCTTTAAGAGAATTCCGTCTCAAAGGGACAGACTTACAATTTCTGTAACTGCTTTTGTTTATTCTGTTCTATGTTCTTTAGGGAGAACATAGTGACTGATGAGTGTGACTAAAAATTTAAACTACTACTTTAAATGCATTCGAATAATGAGAATTAAAATTTCAAGTTAAACCTATCATGTAGAATGAGGCCTGGGCCCACAGGGTGCCAAGAATGCCTACTGAATTTGGGAACAAGAAAATGCATCCTCATCAAGCATACAGTGTTAGGAATTTGTAGTGAGTTGTGTGGGTAGGGAAGATAGGCAAATGATGACCAACATCCATGTAGCACTTACTCTCCTATTTTGACAGTACCAACTGTGAGATACCAAGAAAATATAAATTAGTATTGACATTTTATTTTATTTTATTTTTTAATTGGTTTTTCTTTATTAATTTTAGAGAGGGAGAGAGAGAGAAAAACATCCATGAGAAGAACATCGATTGGCCACCTCCTGCATGCCCACCACCAGGCATTGGGCCCACGACCTGGGCCTGTGCCCTTACTGGGAATCAAACCGGTGACCTCTTGGTACATGGGTCAACGCTCAACCACTGAGCCATACTGGCTGGGCAGTATTGGCATTTTAAAAAAGGAAATTTACTCAAAACTGCATCTTTGGCATCTAAATTCCTTGCAATTTTTCAGTATACTCTACCACCAGTGTTGTCATAGCCTGAAGTGAAGGCCTTAATGCAGAAGTGCAATTTAAACACTATGACATTAGGGAAAAGGAAAAATGTCATCAAGGGAATTTTGACATCAAAACTACCACTTACTGTGTTATTTACAATGTAACATCCTATGCATAGTAATTATCTTGTTTAAACTTCACAATGTCCCTTTTAAGGTAGATACTAGGATTATCACCATATTGTAGGTGAGATTCACTCAAGGTTATACAATGATTGACAGTCAAAGATTTGAAATCATGGACCAGATTTCAGAGCCACTGTTTGTCCCCCTCTACTTAGTGGGTAAGCCCAGAAACAGATTCCTAATATCACTTCTTAGTAACTTTTGTCCCTGTTGTGTTCCTAAAGAAATTGGTGCTGTCGATTCTGTTATTCAGCCATTATTATACTTTTGTCCATTTGATAAGCAGAAGCCCAAAAATCTCCCAAACTGAATTTTTACCCTGGGTATAAATTTTGTTTTCCCAAAAGGACAGTGTTTTCTGAACTCCAAATTTAGGGTGTTTTTTTTTTCATAAATACTATAACAATATATAATATTCTACAATGTTAATGTGCAATATGTTACTGACAGGTAAGCAGGATTTCACATCCCTCATTAATGGGACGGATCTGTTTTTGTCTATTTTATGTAATGATGTTCTACATGAATTTATTTCAAAAAAAGAATATTTTAATGTTTGAAAGTAACAGCAAAAGGAATTAATAGGCAAATTACACATTGATTCAACAAATATTTAATTAACTATGCCAGGCACTATTATAGGTGTTAGGGACACAGCAATGATTGAAGTCCCTGCCTTCATGCATCTGACATTCTTGTAGGATATGATAAGCTAGGAAAAATTAAGCAAACAAAATTGGAATTAACATAAAATGTCTAACGGAATCATCTTGAGGTTTTTTTAAATGAAGGTAGCATTTATCCAGTTTTAGAAATTATCTGTGGAATACATTTATTGCAAGAACCAGACAACAATTTCAGTATTTTCCCACAAGGATATATTATAAACAAATTAGGAACAAAAGCCTCAACAAATGTTTCATATAGGCAAAATGTAAAGTCATGCATTTTGCAAGAAAATCCAATTTTAGAGAATGCTCTGCCCTACTTTTGTAGTTTATAACAAAAAGGGGTTGGTCTGTAGACTATCAGTATTGTAGAGCATCAGTCTTTACTGAAGACTATTTCTGACTACTTGTATTAGTTCTCTATGGGTGCACTAATAAATTAACCACAAATGATGACTTAAAACAACAAATTTATTTTCTCACAATTCTGAAGTCCAAAATAATTTTCAGTGAATTGCAATCAAGATGTCAGCGGGTCATGCTCCAGTTGGAGGCTCTAGGGGAGAATCTATTCCTTGCCTCTTCAAATTTGTGGTGGCTGCCGGACATGCCTTGGTGTATGATGGCATCGCTCCATACTCTTGTCTTCACATTGCTTTCTCTGAGTGTCTGAAATCTCTGCCTTTCTCTTATAAGAGTACATGTGATTGCATCTAGGACCCACCCAGATAATACAGAATAAATCCTTAGATATCCTTAATTTAATCATTGTTTGCCATGCAAGGTTATTATTCACAGGTACGGGGAATTAGGATTTGCACATGTTTTTGCCATAGAGAATTGCATTGTGTATTGACTGAAAACATTTGGTCTCTAATCTGGAAATATGAGACAGGCTATGACTAAAATCATAACGAATATACTTTAGAGTGATCATTGATTTTGTTCACCAAATACTGAAATTCCAGATATGAGAACCTTCCTACCCCACCCATCTACACACACATTTGATTCTGGGAAAATTTTTATGATTGGTGGAAGAACTATACAAGTTTATAATAAATTGATTTAGGGCATGGACTGTGCTTAGAAGTTAGATAAATAAAAGTTCACCACAGGTTTAATGTATATAAGAAAATTGATATGCCATTATGGTCAAATTAGGGATTCTTTATGGTCATAAAACCAACTTTAATTTCCATTAGACTAATCCAGTGATTTTCAACGCATGTGCAACAAGAATTTTTAAAATACATATGCAATACCTGACTATTTTAGTCAGAGGCACTGACCTTTTGCCTTAGATTATCAAATTAAAAAAATGACAACAGCCAACACAATAGCCATCAGTGTGAGTGAATCAAAATTACATCTTTTTTTTTTTTTTTCTGTTGTTGTTGGATCAGCAAAATATATATTTCTGGTGTGGTGCAGAATTTTAGTTATTAGTTTATGTGTGCCACGAGATGAAAAAGGTTGAAAATCGTTGGACTCATCTGGTTTGGCTCAAATCAAATTTTATCATTTGCACTCTTGACTCTAGCTCCAAGCCTGTGTTGTTCAATATGCTAGGTACTAACTACATGAATACTTAAATGTAAATTAATTTGACTTAAATACAATTAAAGATTCAGCTCCCTGGAGACACTAGCCACATTTCAAATGTTTAAAAGTCATTTGGCATAGTGGCTGTCACATTGGATACACCAAATATAGGACATTTGCATCACTGGAGAAAGTTCTATTAAATTGGTATTCCAAAGCCAAACCAAATACTTTGTGTGCGTGTGTGTGTGTGTGTGTGTGTGTGTGTATACACACATATATACACACACATATGTATGTGTGTATATATATATACACATACACAGATATATATGATATGTTTGTTGATTATTTCCATTTGGATATCTTCGACATTTCAAATTCAACATGTTCCACACTAAGGTCAACTCCTCACCCCTAACAAGAACGCACATATACAGTTTGGGTCTTCTCTAGTGTTCTCTCTTAATAACTGGCACCACAATTTACCCATTTTACTGAGCCAGAAACTTGGGTCATTCTTACTTTTTCTTGTACCTAACCTCTCACATCCATCAGGCAAAAATGATTTCTTAAAACTTCCTGTATGTGTTCAGTTGGTATGCTTCTCTTCATCTCCACTGCTGCCACATTGTTCAGGCCCCCATAATCTCGCGCCTGGACTACTGCTGCAGTTCCCTAACTGCTCTCCTGCTTCCCGTCTTAACTCTAACCCTTCCCTGATCTCAGTCTGCTGCCAGGGCATTCTTTCTGAAACCTGTATCTGACTAATGCTCTTGGGTGAATTCCATGCTTCACACGGTTTATAACAACTATCTTTGGCCACTTTCCTCTTCGCATTC